TCTGGCAGCTTTTGCAGTACCCAAGATAAATAATAAAAAAATGCAAGATGTAATTGGTTCATAGCTACTGCTAAAAATGGAGACTAACTATCCTAATGTTCTCAGAACTTCCTATTAGCTCTAAATTAAAGATATTTAACAGCTTGTTTATCATTCATGTCTTTCTGTGATTATCCCTAGTTTTTAATTTTTAAAACTGTAAACTGTCTGTAGTGCACTAATGTCATTTCGCAAAAAGAAATTGTGTGGTATGGCTAACAACAAGCACCAGAAAGGACTACTCTTAGACAACTCTATCCAAACTCTAAAAAAAACATTTGTTTGACATAGAACTATATCCATATGTTGAATTCCAATACTGTACATTTATTACTTTTCTCACAGCTAAATAACGTTTGTATAAACTGGAACTGAGCAAATCATGGAGCTGTAACTAGTATTGCAACTTGAACGTAGTCAAGATTTGGCTCATGTCTCTCAAAGAACTATGAAAATTTTTAGTTTTTGTTGTTTTAATGAGCTAAAATCAGCTTAAACAGGTTGTCCATCTGTCTATTGTTAATCTTGTAAAACTGTTATTGAAAAAAAACTGTACATCAGCTAACTTCTTGAAGAAAATAAGTACACTTTCCTGCAAACTTAAGGCTTTTAGGTGCACAGACCACTGAAATTGTCCCTATGTGTGTTACGCCAAAGGATGGCAATGGCTGCAGGTATTAATAGACCTTGACTTCAATCAGAGCTGAACACAACACCTTAAGTGGAAAAGGTTCATTTTTCAATCATTTCCTTGCTTCAATCAGTGCAGGGTGGACCTCCGGTTCATTTAAGGAGATTTTTAGCCTAATGCACGGCATGTTTTGGATGAACAGCCTATGAGAACAAAAACATGAAAAAAAAAAAAGTTCTGCATGATACTTGGCAAATAATCATTTGGTTTAGTGTTTCATAATACAATATCATTTTTTTAGTTACAACATTCCTTTTTTGCTTTCTATAGTCAGGATCTTAATCATTTTTGTCAAGTTCAAAAATCTGGGACACGAGAATTGATGCAACAGGTCAAGTATTTTTTTTAATGAAATGTTGAATGGATGTTAAGTGAAACATAAAATCTCATCCATTTCTACCTGCATTTAGTCTTTAGCATGTTTGATTATTCAACTGTGACAACATTAACATATAAACAAAGATAAAATTGATATGCTCTCATTCTTATACACTTTTTTTATTATTTAATATCAGGCAACAGCTTTTTTTCTTACTGAAGAAAAACTGTTCACATTGTTTTGAATCATATACATGGAATGACAATCCTGGGAAAACTTAGGCCCGTTTATGCAAATATTGTCTAGAGTAAAGAGAAAAAGTACATATTGCTAGAAGACCGGATTACAGTTATTCTAAAGTGAAAAGACAATGTCATGTTATACAAAAAATATCATTCCAGAATATGCTCAGATACAGAAAAGAAAAAAAAACATGACCACTTTTAGTAATTTGCAATAAAAGGGGAAAAAAGACAATCCTAATTGGATAAGATATATTTCCCTTGAGTTGCATTTGCTGCCATGAGCTAAATTAAGTGTCTTAATTCCAGAGGGAGACCCAACAAAAAAGCACTTACTGGAGAAGTTAATGCTCTCTAGTGTTTTGTTGAGCTCCATCTAAAACCCTGCTTCTCACACTGGGCTGTGAGAACTGTCTTGGGATGACAACTGAAAATTGAACGGTGTGCTGATTGGTGTGCATGTGTGTATCCATACATCTCGGAACTGAGCCAGCAAGGGCAGCTTAGGATCCATTGCAAAACACTCTATATAAGACGATTATGGCGAAGGGGGTGGAGGTGGGGGGTGGGGGGGGGGGGGGGTGTGGGGGGGGGTTCAGCCGACTGGCTCAAGTAGCTGTGAACTTTGGCACAAGAGTCACAATACCAACCTTTGCCCCATTCGCACTAATCAACAAGACCTTTTCAGCATGACTTCATTTTAGCAAATGCTACAATAAAGTTGTCATTTTTTAACCACATCCGGATTTAAGGCAGCCAGACTTTTTTTGTTTTGTTTTTTTACTATGCCTAACCCTTCCAATGTACTGTTCCTATACTGAGAGCCTGCTCTTAGATGGCCACTCAGGCATAAAACACAAGACATCATGAGAGACATATGGCTCAACGATAAACTTCGCATTTGAACTGGTAATGCTGGCTCATAAACTCCTTTATTCTGAGTGGGGGTTGGGATTTCCAGAAGATGTAAGAAACAAGAAAAAAACTGAAAACAGAGATGCTAAACTGACTAGTCCATTAGTAGAAGGCAAGGCTTTTTGTGCCAGTGATTTCTGATGCTTACTGTACATAAAACAGCATGAAGGTGTTGCAGGCTCTTGGCCTGCTGTTGTATTTTTTTTAATCAAACAATAAACAAATTAAAAGATTTTAACCATAATATGAAATCATAGATCCCTAACTTTCTATCTGATTTTTATTTAACTCAAAAAAGTGCATCAAACTATGTCCTTTTGTTTGAAGTTTCATTTTAAAAGCCAAAATGGTTGGTTTTGTTCAGAGCCCATCAAGAAAGAAAAATCTGATCTGGGTCTATAGCTAATTTGTTAGTTTATGATTAAAAACGGAGATTCTGTGAGATCCTAAAGGTCATGGAAATTTGTTAAAAAAGATATATGGGACACGTTTGCTAATTCAAAGGATGAAAGAGAACTGTAGTTACAATTAATTGTAACTATATCTTGAATAGCTATTACTCTCTAGCCTATTAAGCCTTCCTGCTTGGTTTCTTGCCACTTATAAATTGGAAAAGCTGATTGCTACTTTATTTACTTTAAGAGACATTTTGTACGTTTTTACTGAAAATTATCTTTAAAGGAATAGTACACTGAAAACATGATTAGCCTTCATTTTCTACTCACCCCCATGCTGAACAACACTCTGGAGTACTTTTTTGATATCTCAAATGCATCTGGAGATCCGGGAGGCTTCTTGCTGTCTGCTGACATTCAAATAATGGAGGTGCCCAGCGCCCGAGGCAGAAAGGTCCATAAAAGTCCACAAAACGTGTCAATATTCCTCCATACTGCTTGCCCAATGTATTCCAAGTGTCCTGAGTGGGTAGCATCCAGAATTTACTCGAAACGAAGTCATTTAGAATGTTTTTAGAGCATAAACCGTAGTGTATAGGATTTCCTGAAAGCGCGCACCTGCGCGTTCACGACGCTACGGAAGCCGGCAGACCAAACCAGATGAAAGTGCGCATTCAGCGTCTGCTCTGCCGATAACGCAAGCGTAGAAGAAGAAATGTGCTGTTTACCTGTGCAAAGAAAGAAACAACGAAAGAAAAATGTCTGAGGACTTCAGTGTTGAGGAAGAGCATGCGTTCTTTGCCGAGCTGAATGCGCACTTTCATCTGGTTTGGTCTGCCGCGGTTTCCGTAGACTCGTGAACTCGCAGGCGCACGCTTTCAGGAAATCCTATACACTACTGTTTATGCTCTAAAAACATTCTAAATGACTTCGTTTCGAGTAAATTCTGGATGCTACCCACTCAGGACACTTGGAATACATTGGGCGAGCAGTATGGAGGAATATTGACACGTTTTTTGTGGACTTTTATGGACCTTTCTGCCTCGGGCACCATAGACCTCCATTATTTGAATGTCAGCAGACAGCAAGAAGCCTCCCAGATCTCCAGATGCATTTGAGATATCAAAAAAGTACTGCAGAGTGTTGTTCAGCATGGGGGTGAGTAGAAAATGAAGGCTAATCATGTTTTGGGTGTACTATTCCTTTAAATCTCCAGCCCTGGTTATGACAGCCCTCATAAAGCCAAATGCAGAAGAATGTCTACAACAACATCATCTTTATTAAGTGAATCAGTCCTCGACCAAAGTGTATTAAAAAATGTTGCTTTATAATTACTTTATTAGTCTCACTGTGGAGAAATGCAGGTATATATATATATATATATATATATATATATATATATATATATATATATATATATATATATATATATATATATATATATATATATATATATATATATTAGACCATTCATTCATGCATAAAACTATTGTCTAAACAAGGGTGAGGGCAGCGCAAAGGTAATGGGCTGCCCCCGATGGTTGGGAAATGCCCGCTCTTGGCCCTCCTTGGTGGCTCCACTGCGTGAACCCAATGCGCTGCATGTCTCCACAAACTGAGCAGGGTGTAAAACCCCGGCGCTACGCCATACAAACTTTCTGGAAGCGCACCTGGAACTCTGGGGGAGACCTGTGCACCGGCTTACAGATGCGCATTTCTGTATGTAATGCAGTCGGTCAGCGGATGCGCTGCGCTCTGCGCTCACCTCCACAGGTCCCCAGCGCCTCCGTCGTGCTACGCCGAGCGATTCCCAACCTGTTCTGCACTAAAATCAATGCATCTACCGAGCTTCTGCGTCATCGTTCATCCGTTCACCTCAGAACACATTAACACGCATTCCTTTGAAGATGACTTCCCAGTTGCAGCAGAACATCTCATTTGAATATATGTGAAGTAGGGAGATTTAACCCCTTCTAATGGGTTGAAAAGGGGGAATCGTGTCGCCCGAAGCAGTGAAGCAACAGGGCCCTCCTGTTCAGCTCATGTTCAGTAAATCACACCAAAAAGGAGAAATGTCAGTTCGGTGTGTGCGCAGTCCAATGTGGGACAGCAGGTTGTTTGACAGGCGCTTCCCAGGACTGCATATTAACCACAGCACAATCAGTGACAGGGATCCCACCTCTTATTTCAGAAGCATTCATCTCATTCCTCCTCTGCATGCGTCTCAGTGAGCCACAGCGGACCGCTCCGCATCCCCCCCACCACCCCTCCATCAGCGGCCAGCAGCATCCAGCGCATAAATCCTGACGTGTCGCTCGCATCCTCCACCGCAGCTCCACAGTTTTAAAAGACTCCCCGTGATGGAAAGAAAAAAAAGTCCCAAATAAGAAAGCACTTACCTTTTCTCATCGGGCGCTCATTCTGGAGGGTACCATTTATGCGTTTTAATCCACATCTGTTCTCCCCTTCATATGTGCGCTCTATCTTCTCCCCCCGCGGTGAAGGAGGGAGAGAGGGAGAAAGAGAGGGAGATAGCGCGTCTAAGAAAATCCATGTCTTAGTTCCGTTTTATAGGACACACAAGGTGAAATCACAATGACTTTCCTTTTTTTGCGGGCTCAGAATTTCTTCCATCACTCTGAACCCCTCTATCTTGTCCTCTTTCCCCCCACTGTCTTCTTCTGCTTCTTCTTCTCTCCAGCTCTGAAGTTGCCTGGTTACCCCTGTTTCTCATTCAAGGAGGCAGAAGCGCAGCATACAGCGGCCAATCATAGCGGCAGCCCGAGAGATTAACTATTTCTTGGCTCCGCTTTTCCACTTTCAGGCTAAAAAAAAAATAAAAAATGAGAAGAGTAGGCGGGGAAAACTGGGCCCCTGGTGACGGGAAAAAATTAAAATGCACAGAGAATAATATAAAGAGAGGGGGGGTTCGTTAGATGGGGGAAGGGGGCGTAGGGGATTAAAAATAAAGGAAAAATAAAGGATTCTGGAGAGGAGGAGGGACCAGTTGCCACTTATCAGCACAACAAAGAAGTAAGTGAATAATATTCCAGCTTCAGAGGCTGTTATGCAAACTTCAGAGAAGCTTGTCCTTCAGAGGACTGCTTGCTTTTTAAGCAGCAGAGATCCATCTCATTTCTGAACCCTCCCAAAAAGCAATCTATCAGGGTCATTGACAGGGGCGTTGCTAGTTACAAAGCTTTACTGGGGCACTGGCCCCCTACCGCATATGCCCCTCCTGCCATACACAAATACAGACAAGCACACTGCCCCACCCTGATAAATTCCTACCAAAATTACCAGTTGAGATATTAAAGCTGAAGTCTGTAAGTTTTTAAAAATCACTTTTTTGTCATATTGGCTAAAACTGTCCCTATGCCCAGACAGCAGTACATGTGATATGTAACCTGTGAAAAAAACTGCTTCAATTGGTCCCGCCTACTGCCTGTATTTCAATCTGGAAAGAATAATTCGGGACGAGTCAAAACAACCAATCACAGCCAGAGGAGCGTCTGATGGAGTGTCAATCACAGCTCACACACGCTGGGAACACGATGTTATTAAGCAAGTTGAAAACACACTGCATATCCTTCATGACTAGGCTTTCTTTTTCAACCATAAAAAGCTTTCAAACCATTTTGAATTAAATGAACGTTTTTTTTTACTCCTACTTTGTCCTGGGGTTAGTGGGACAACTTCACTTGTTTAGGACCATCATGCTTTCCCCCTAAGTCATTAATGTCCCCTTCTTGTTTGTGGACGCTGGTTGTTGCTCCCTCATCACCTTCATGGTCCTGTCTCTCCTGTCTCTCTCCTGTCTCTTGCCTGTTAATCTCGCCTCCTCCTCCCTTTCCTACTCCAGCACCTTCATTCTCATTCTCTACAGCAAACATTAAAAAACCTTAAATATATAATTATGTAAATATCTATCATATTGCTTATAACGTTCCTAATGTAACTGCTTAGCTTAAATCACTAATTCATTACGGGACCTTACCTCCCTCTCTCTCATCTTGTTTTACTGCTTCCCTGTCTCTGCTTCATGTGAGGAATTTCCTGATATCCATCTACAAACCAATGCAGTAATTTTCAGTTAGTAGCCTATAAATCATGTGGTTTCACTGGGAAAATAATAAAATTGACAGGTAAGAAACGTTACCAGAACTAAAAATGCGTCGCGGCCGCACAGTGTCCCATCCAACTCAGCTGAGAGCAGCGCGTTAATTTACCTGCAGTTCATGCAGTGACATGCGCTGACGTGGGGGCGCTAATTCATCCTCAACTTTGAGTAAACAACACACTTGCTACGCATTTGAGTAGAAATGTACGTCTCCTTCCATTGGAATTATCTAAATTGATGCATTAAAAAAATGTATCACTGTTGCAAATATTCATGAGATTTATACTGGGGCACAGCTCATTTATACTGGGGCACGTGCCCCAGTAAATGGGGTCTGGCGACGCCGATGGTCATTGATCAGCCCTTCTTTAACCAGCCATCCATCAAGTAAGACCCCCCCCCCACCACCATATCACCATCACATCCCCTCCTCTTTCCATCACCCCTGTCCAAGACCGTTCACCTCATCATACGCTGTATTGATTTCAATTCCACCCCTCCCTTAACCAGGGTGAAAGGTGCACAGGGGAGCACGCCAGGTTCAATCACTCCTACACTGTACAGATGGGGGGGCTTAATGAGCACCTACCTTGATGGTCTGCTCAATGAAGGGAGGGCTTCTACATCCAGGTTGAGCCCTTTGACACTACAGCGTAGAAATGTCTGAGCGTGTGAGACACAAGGACAATGCTGGCAGCAGAATGGTCTCTGCGGGGTGCCTTGCAGAGCTCCTGGTGCTTTATGGAGGAACAGTGGGGGGTCCTGACAGCGAGACAGCAAGCTTTTAGAGTAGTCTGAAAACGGCTGGGGTGGGATGAGGGGGTTGACCTATGCCTTGAGAGCACACTCTCACACCCAGGAGCATTCCTGCACAGAAATCTCACGCAGCGATTTGTATATTTACTTTTATGACTTTAATGCAAACGATGATATCGCTGCATACAGGCGTGCCCCACCCGCAAACCTCGCTGTGGTGTGCTGGGATTTGATGTCACAGAATAACACAAAATAGGTCACAGGTGAAGTAGAAGGAAAATGGAGCAAACACTCTTTAAATAAAAATCTAAAAATTGAGGCATGGTTCATAGGTTAACATCCCTCCCATGTCTGTAGAAGGGTCTGTGTAACTCCATTCCACCTGTCAGGAATGTTAACTTTTTACTGAGAAAATGTAAGCCAGGCGTACACTGTGCAATATTTTCAATCATTGAAAATATTGCACAGTTCGAGCTGTACGATGAAACCACAGAGTTTTAAAGTTCGCAGCTCACGATGTATGTTCTCACACCATGCGGCCCGTCACTCTGATGCGATCTTACAAGGGGCCAACTGAATTTCAAATATGTTTAATCTTCTCCCGACCTTACATTTCCTGATCTGGAGGTGGTCGTGAGAGGCTGATCGCCGCTCGTTACACTACGCAACGCACTATCAGGCTGAAAGTCGGCCCAATCAAAAAATTATTGCACGACTAAAACGGGCAAAAAACTCGTACAGTGTATGCCTGGCTTTAGAAAACAGGAAGGTAGTCTGTCCATCAATACCACATTTAGGACCAATCAGATTTCAGCAAAGTTATGCAATTTTAGCAAATTAAATACATACGCTTTGAAAGAAATGATACAACATTTAAGTTTCTCTTTGTGCTGTATCGATAAAGGTCTCGCTCCCAAGCATCAAAAACCAATGCTTGGTCAAACCCATCAGATACTAATGTGAGGGGGGGGGGGTACCCCTGTCGTTATTGAATGACAGGCAGGAATTCTCGAAAATTTCACATCTTTTACCCAGGGGATCCCCATTCCCCGGGTCCTGGACCGGTACCAGTCAAACTGTCATTTGGTACCGGGGCACCCAAAAATAACAAATTACTTGCATTATTTCTGCCGGATTTATCTTCCGAGTCTAAATGGTGTATTATTTTGAAAAATGACAGGATTCACATTGTTACATCTATGATTCACTTCTGACATATGTTGTCCACAACACTGTGGGTCATTTGATACTTCCCACTGTATACTCCCACTGATCAGAGAGTACTACAGCTAAAAACCACTTCATAAAAATGTTGTTTGACATTAAACCGGTCCGTGGCGCAAAAAAAAGGTTGGGGGGCTACTGCTTTACCCATATCCCGTAAACCTAAAACATTATTAGATGTTACTGTGCACTCACTAAAGCCAACAACAACTTTGTTGCCTAAACTTTTCGTCACAGGTCACATGCATATATTGTAAAACAAGGTCTCCATTTCAGGCGACAGAAAGACTGCAATCTATCATGCTCCCTGTGCACCAGTATATGATGTGAGAGGTACCACAATCATGTCATTATCTGACATGCAGGGAGCTTGACCAAATATCAATAATAGATGAGTTACGAAGGAGAATGTGTAGATATAACTTATCTTTAAAGAAAATTTGTTGGTCGTAAAATCTGAATTGTTTCAACCAGGACACTTAACCTTTTCGTTAGTTTTTTTCCAAGGTCTTAAAAACAGGAGTTAAAAAAATAACTCCTGCTTAAAAAAGAAAAACCTGGACAGGTTCCTTTCTGAAAAGTTACAAGCCCATTCATCAGTAACCTTGTTAATAATGACCAACCACTTTGACAGCTTTTATTCAGTTTTCTGTGCTCACAGCGGTACAGAGACTGCCATTGCACAAACACTGTAAGAACCACAATGCCAGTTTTATTGGATTCAGAGAGGTATAACTGGAGGAACTGGAGAAGTGTGTTGGCCTTACTGCTGCTGCCCTTGACTGTTTGGGTCTTTCTTGGATCGCAGACGGACTCAAACTGATTTATGCTCAGTATAACTCAAGCCGATCTGTGAAGCACTCAGAGACCATTAGTGAACCAACAGCCAGTCTTGAACCCACCAGACTGTACAGGGATCAATCTTATTCCTTGCAGGGTATTTCCAGCAGTAACTGCACAATAGGAGGGACAGAGAGTATAATTAACCCAGCAGTCATGCTTGTAGACTGTGGGGGAAGCTAGAGAAACCAAGAGAGAATCCAGCATTGTCAATACAGAAAGACCCTGAGCTCATATTTGAACCTGGAACCTTCTTGAGTATTAAGGAATATTCATTAATATGAATAACTTTCCAAACACTATTTTAATTTCTAATCGTATAGAAACTGTTGCCCACGTTTCTCATATCCTTGCTGTGTCATTGAGGTATCAAGATTGTCAATGATGTTCAAGGACACTGGTTATGCAAATGATGCACCATCACAAAGCCTTGCTATCAGAAACATGATTGTGTTAACATGATGCGTGATTGAAAACATTTTTTTGTGAAGTCTTATTTCTATGTAAATTTTACTTAACTCATCCTTTCAATACAGCACCAACTCATGAGGAGGGTTAGCTAAGGGCTCTATATGGACATGAGTTCAGATCTAATTCAACTGAACAGAGCCCCCTTTCACTCCAGGTCAGATTATATCTCTAAATATTCAAATTTAGAAAGGTTTTACTATAATTCATCCTTATCAGATTCCTGAACCTCCTCAGCTGCCTTCTGTCAATTCCTTGGAGTAGCGACCCTATTTAAAGTAACCTATAAAATGGAGCTTCTAACTAACTTTAAAGTTTAATCCAGCGACCTTAAAAATGATACCGTAATTTTCGGACTATTAGCCGCACCTGAATATAAGCCGCAGAAGGTAAA